GCACATGCAGCCTCTGCCTCCCCTGCAAGCTCCAGTAGAAACGGGAGCGGCTTACAGAAAAAAAAGGTCTTTTCAGTTTTAATAAATACCTGCATATTTGCAGCAAAAAAAAAAAAAAAAAAAGCGGCTTTGTGTCTAAATACTGCTCTTTCCAGGCTTGCTGCTCCATCGCGCAGGGGTTCTCCCACACACACAGGGATCCCTGTTCTTCCCCCCACACTGCAGCCAGCAGCGAGCGAGGGCACCAGCCCCTCCGGATCACCCAAGGAGCGGGAAGGTGCCTCTCCCGATAGGGTATGGAGCACGTGCTCCCCACAGTGCCTTCCCATGGGATCCAGGCAGCGCTGGGATCCAGGGACTGGTGCTGGGATCCAGGGGCGGCACTGGGATCCAGGGGCCAGTGCTGGGATCTAGGGACTGGTGCTGGGATCCAGGTGTTGGTGCTGGGATCCAGGGGCTGCTGTTGGGATCCCAGAGCTGGCACAGGAATCCAGGGGTCGGTGCTGGGATCCAGGGGTGGCACTGGGATCCAGGAGTCAGTTCTGGGATGTAGGGGTYGGTTCTGGGATCCAGGGCTGGTGCTGGGATCCAGGGATTGGTGCTGGGAACCAGGGATTGGTGCTGGGTTCCAGGGCTGGTGCTGGGATCCAGGGGTCGGTTCTGGGATCTAGGGGTCGGTTCTGGGATCCAGGGGCCGGTTCTGGGATCCAGGGGTCGGTTCTGGGATCTAGGGGTCGGCTCTGGGATCCAGGGGCCGGTTCTGGGATCCAGGGGTCGGTTCTGGGATCTAGGGGTCGGCTCTGGGATCCAGGGGCCGGTTCTGGGATCCAGGGGCCGGTGCTGGGATCCAGAGCTGGCGCTGCCCGGCGGGCGCTGCAGGGAGGCGCCTGGCCACGCGGAGCCGCAATGCGGAGCCGCAATGCGGAGCCGTGGGGCTCTCCCAGCAGCTCCAACCCGCCCCGTGCTGGGAACGGGCGGCTGCTGGCGGGTGACACACACGCAGGGAGGAGGGACGGGCCCATTCCCGGGCGCGGGAGCACGGCTGGGCCCCGCGCGGCGCTACACCATGAAGCGGTGCTCCTTGCCGTCGTGCGCCATGAGGATCACGTTGCGGTTGGAGGTCCAGATGAGGCGGGCGAGGCGCAGCGCGTTGTGCGAGCCCGGCGAGGCGGGCTGCACCGGCGGCACCTGGTACGTCTTGATGCAGCGCAGCTGCGGCGCCGAGTTGAGCATCCCGATGCTGCCCAGCAGCGACGTGTTCATCTGCGAGGGACACCGCGGTCACCGGCACCCGCGGGCTCATTCCAAGCCCGCCGGCCGGGGCACGTTGTGCCCAGAGCAGCCCCCGGCCGAGCAGCCGCCCCTGCGCCCACCCCGGGAGCCTCCTGCTTCAGGCTCCGTCCCCTCCGCGCCGCCAGCACCAGCCACTGGCACTGGGCTACACGGCCCGGCGGAGAAACAAACCACGGACCAGACCCTGCGCGCAGACCTGCCCGTAACGCCGCAATTGGGACAGTTTTGTTCCCTCACTTTGCCCCATAGCTTTTTTTTTTATCTAGGTTCTCCTTGATGGCACCTATTTCAAATTCAATTGTGAAATCTGAATCAATAAATAAGCTAGGAAGAGCATGCAGGCTTACTTGGTACTTTGAAAATACCACCTATGCTTTATTTATGTCTCTAATAACACAGAATTTATTCTGAATTTCAGGAAAAGGTGTAAAATATTAATAAGATTATATTTACACTAGAATACTTTTACTTGTCCAAGCCCCAGCAACAGCAGAGCTGCTGGCAATGCAGGACGGGGGAAGGAGGGGTCTCGAGGCGGCCCCAGCAGAACCAGGGGCCAAGCTCGGCCCATCGCAGCATGTTCATGCTCAAGACGCTCCCGGATGGGACCCTGTGCCCTGTGCTCTGGGTGTCCCTGCTGGAGCAGGGGCTGCACTGGATGAGCTCTAGGGGTCCCTTCCAACCTCAGCCATCCAGGGACTCTGGGATCTGGAGCGGCTGCGGAGCGGCAGCATCAGGAAGCTCTCCTGCCTTGCCCGCTGCTCCAAGAGGCCCTTCCAGGCGGAGGCGGGACGCGCAGCCGCGGTGCCCGGCGGCCGCTCCGYGCACGGCGCTGCCCGCGTGTAAATCACGGCCCCGAGCGGGCAGCGCCCGGCTGCCGCTGACACCTCTGCAATTTAAATCATCTTGAGTAATAGCCCTCTTAAGATGACTAATGCTCCTGATTTTCCTGCATTAATAATAGTGCCAAAGAGAACACAGAAGGGGAAAAATCACTAGTGCACGAGGTCACATTTTAAAACTAAACGTGTGCGTGTATTTAACTCTTCATGTAAAAGCTAGTCGAACAGGAGCATTTACACACCTGGAAGGAGCCTGGCAAATCCACCATTTACATTCACRACTGAACACAGACCTTTTCCCCCCCGACTGGGGGTTCCAGAGTGTCTCCTACACAGCTCTTAATTTTATCACTTGGGCATTTTAGGTACACCAAACTGAAATATTACAACAGCACCACGTTTCTATCGAGGTATCAAATATGAAAAAGTTAAATATTTAAGAACACCCCTTGACTGCCTGGGGGTTGCACAGTCATTTGGATGCCACCAGCGCCTCGTCCTCCTGGACACTTCTACCTGCAAGGCAGGTTTTTATAGGAACAGCCCTAGCAAAAACCCTCAGAGGGAGGCCCGGGGATCAGAGCGACCTCCCCACAGGCCAGGGAGGGCAGCAGAGGAAGCTCAGAAGCTCTCTGGGGCTTGGGAGGAAGCCAAAGTCCAGCACCTGCCTCCAATACCTCCAGGCAGCAAGGGGAGCTTCCCAGGACGGCAAAGAAGTTTCCTGGACCCTACCTGTTCATGGGGACTAACTGGCTGGCGGGTAGGAGAAGTAGAACCCTACAGGAATAAGCAGGAAGGTCCACAGAATCCCAGGAGGGCTGAGGTTGGAGGGGACCCCTGGAGATCCCCCAGTGCAGCCTCCTGCTCCAGCAGGGACACCCAGAGCTCGGGGCACCCGGTCACATCCCGGCGCGCTGGCAGATCTGCAGAGCAGGAGCCTCCGCAGCCTCCCTGGGCAGCCTGGGCCAGGGCTGGGCACCCTCACACCAAACAAGTTCTTCCTCACGGCCACATGGAGCTGCCTGGGCTCCAACTGGGACCACTGCCGCTCCCTCCCTACATTCACCCCTCAGGCACTCATACATACTAATCAGATCCCCTCTCAGCCTTCTCTTCTCAAGGTCCAGGGCTGCGTTTCAGTTCTGGAGGGCGGCACTTGGCCACTGTGGGAACCATGAAATAAATTCAGAGATGGTGGCACCGTATTTGGATGAACTGGAGCAGAAAGAGCTCGGGAAGAACTCACGCTGCTGGAGCTGCGGGTGCAGCGCATGTGCACGCACCTCTGCTCAGCTCAGCTGCACAGAGCTTGTGAAGTCGGGCGGACCTCCTGCAAACTCAATCTGAAAAGCAGCTCAACTGGATTTAGGAAAGGCACAAAGAACCCCTATGATTTTGCCAATTCCCCCTCCTCAGTGATGGGGAAGAGTGTAGGAAATGACCCCCAGTGCTGCTGGTGAGCAGTGCATGGGTAAGCGGCCCTTACCTGCCAGAAGGAGAGGTGACTGTCCGAGTTGGAGTAGGTGGCGAGGTAGCGGCCATCGGGGGCGAAGGCGACGGCCGTTATGGGTCCCTTGTGCCCGTGGATGGTCTGAAAGAGCAGAGGGGACAGTAATGTAGAAGCTTCATTACTCAGCACCACAGCTCTACCGCGCAGGCCTTTGTGCAAACACAAGTGCAATCACATATGRACTTCTAGAAGCATTTTAAAAGGACAGGAACAGATCATTATCGTCAGTAAAAATGGGCTGCTGTGTCCAAAAGCCCTGGAAGAAGAGGTCTCGGACAAGTCCTGCAGCATCTTCCTGCTTTCACCACTGCATCTTAGGGCTATTTGTCATTAGGAGAGCATCTACGACCTGAGACCCCACGACAGCTGATTTCTGGTCTTCATGAACGGATGTAGTCAAAATTCCTATTTAAGTCCTGAATTCTCCCAGTCTTTTCCTCCCATGAAACACCTTCGCACCCGGACGCGAGGCGGCAGCACCTCCCTGCAGGAAGGGCACCATGCCCGGCACCGAGGCCACGGGTCACTTGGCTTCTGCCAGCAACTCCAGCGASGATTTCTGTGCTCTCCGTGGAGGACACCGGGAACATCACACCAGCGCCAGCACTGCACACCCAAACGCTACCGTGCTGAGCAAGGCAGGGGCTGCCCCGGGCTCTTCCCGCACTACCTGCTCTGACTGACACCGTGTCCATCGGCGCCTTTGGCCCTTCCTGGCCAAGGGAGGCCAGGGGGACTGCACATGCCAAGCCAGCATAAAGCCAAAAACRCTTAATCAAATCACTGTATGAACAACCTGACAAATTTCAGTTTTTAAACCCAAACCATTTTTCAGGTATATGAACATAAATGTGCCTTTAACTGCATTTCTTTTTTGTTAAATGTAATACAGATACTCCAAAAGAGGCTGTGAACGGCATGTCTGCAAACGCAGCGCTCGGCTACGCGGCAGGCAGGGCTGGCCCGTGCCCATCCCCATCCCCAT